GGCGGGGGATGGCGCTCGCCGCTTTCCCCACCATAAAACGGCAGGGCCAGGGCCGGCCGGGCAGAACGGAGCGGAGCGGCGGCACCGACCGACACGGACACGGACACGGACACGGACACGGACACGGACACGGACCGCCCGACACGGACCCGGACCGACCGACCGGCACGGAACGGAGCGGAGCGGCCGGGCCGCCCTGCGGAGGTAACGGGGCCGGGGGGGGTCCCAGCCCCGCTGGATGGAGCGGGCTGAGGGAGCGGAGGGTCCGTCCCCGGCCGGTACAACGCGGGGAGAGCTTGGGGACGGCTCCGGCTCCTGGAACCGGTGTCCCCGTCGGTGTCCTGCTGGGTTTTTGGGGGGTTTGGGGTTTTTTTTTTCCGGGTGCGGGGAGGGGTTGCAGCCTCCTAGCAGAGGTGCTCCGGGCATGAGGGAGGCAGGGGGTGGCTTTTCTTGTGTGTGACCCCCACACACACACCCCCGGTCCTGCCAACTCCTAGCCCTGCTGTGGGCAGCCCTCAGCCTCCGCCACCCGTGACAAAGGGATCTGGCTCTTGCCAGATGAGCTCCAGGCACAGGCGGGCTCCCGCCGGGTTTTCTGTAGCAGGGGAGCAGCGGGGTGGGCATATCGTCAGGGAAAGGGACTAAAAGCCACTGCGGGAGAGGATTTGGGAAGCTGGAAGCCAGGTGGACCGCGCCAACCCTCTGTCCGGTCTTTGCAGCCTCTTCCTTGGCAGAGGTTCGCCCAAGTCACTCCTTGTTCAAAACCGATTCTCCCTGAACATCCCTACGAGCTGGGAGGAGGCGTGTGGCCATGAAATGCAGGCTCGGCTCTTCCCACCACCCAAAAGTGCCCACAGAGTTTTATTTTTGCCTTTAGTTTCTCTGAAATTTGTGTTAGGATCCTTCTGTGCTGCTCCTGTGAAGCTGTACGGCAGGACACAAGGACGGGGCGAGACTTTGTGTTGTTTCTTGGCTGTGGGACCAGTCCCGGGGGGGTGCAGGCAGCTACTGCCAACTTCAAAGCAGTCCCAGGGATGCACCAACATCGCACAGGGGAGTGGGCAGAGCTTGAGGCCAACCCTGCCAGGCAGTTTGGAGCAGTGCAGGAAAACCCCTTCTCTCCCTGGTCTCCCAAATCCCTGCACAGAGCATGGCTCGGCCAGGCTGGATCCAGAGTCCATCCGCTGAACCAGGTTTATGTAAGCACTGATTTGCAGCGTCAAGAGACACCTATGAATCCGCTTGCCTTTGGAAAATGTATAAAAACATGGCATCTGGCCTGAGGCTGTACCAGTGTTTGTCTTGGTCCCAGCCCCTTGGAGAGACCCTGCCATCTCTCACCTGCTCTCAGCTTGGCCTCGAGTCTCTGTCGAGTACTTTCCAGGAGCAAGGACAGAGCAGGAGTGCCAAAAGGCACTGTCACTCCATCCTTTATAGTGTATCTAGCATTGCTTTTCTGGCAGACCTGTGGGTGCTCCTTGCGTGGGACCATAAACTCCCCTCCAGGGCTCGGCAGGAGACACTGCGCCGTAATGCGGTCCTCCCTTGGCACGCTCAGCACCTCCTCCTGACCGGCAGGATGCTGGGCCAGGCGGGTCGCCGGTCAGACGCAGGGTGTGACGGTTCTGGCTTTCCTGTTATTAACATCAGTACGGCGTCGCTGAGCCTTCCTCAGCAAAGGTGCTGAGCCCCAGCCCCGGGAGCTGACCGTCGGGAGGGCTGCAGGTGGAGATGGCGTGTTCAGACCACGGGCAATGCTATTCCCTTCTTGCACCACAGAAGGGAAGGCGGCAATAGATAATGCTGCTTATTCCCAGAGCCAGGGATTGGGGAGGAGAGCTGACCTCCAGATGCCTGGAGAGACAGGGGCCTGATCCTGCACTGCTTGCTGACCCAAAGCAAGTGCGATGCAGCTTGGGATCAATGGGACAATGGGCTGCGTTTGCTGGCAGGCTTAACATTGGCGCGTTGCTGCTTTTTGTTGCAGGTGGGAAGGCAGCAGTAGCTCACTATGGCCCTGGCAGACAACACGGGCTGTGCCAAACCCAGCGAGGAATTCCCCTTCCCTGAAATCATTGAACTCAATGTGGGTGGACAAGTCTACATCACCCGCCACCCCACCCTGGTCAGCGTGCCTGGCTCGCTCCTCTGGGAGATGTTCACCCAGAAGAACATCCGCTCCCTGGCCCGCGACAGCAAGGGACGGTTCTTCGTGGATCGGGACGGCTTCCTCTTCCGCTACATCTTGGATTACATGAGGGACCAGCAGCTGGTGTTGCCCGACCACTTCCCAGAGAGGAGCCGCCTGCAGCGAGAGGCTGAGTACTTCATGCTGCCGGAGCTTGTGAAGATGCTGGCCCCCAAGCTCAGCAAGCAGAACTCGCTGGGAGACGACCCATGCCAAAGCGACCCAGAGGAGCTCTCCCCCAACGCGGATGCCACCCGCAACCTGACCTCCGCCAGTGCCACGCTCCCCAGCGCCGTGGCCGGTGGCCCCGGGGGGACCGGCACCACCGGCACCGGTGCTGCCAGCACTGAAGTCCGCAGGGCAGGTTTCATCACCATCGGCTACCGGGGCTCCTACACCCTGGGCAGGGACAGCCAGACGGATGCCAAGTTCCGCAGGGTGGCTCGGATCATGGTCTGCGGCAAGACGTCGCTGGCCAAGGAGGTCTTTGGGGATACCTTGAACGAGAGCAGGGACCCAGACAGACCCCCGGAGAGGTACACCTCCAGGTACTACCTCAAATTCACCTTCTTGGAGCAAGCCTTTGATAAACTGGCCGATGCTGGCTTCCACATGGTGGCTTGCAACTCCACAGGCACCTGTGCCTTCGCCCATGACCAGACAGATGACAGGATCTGGACCTCTTACACCGAATATGTTTTCTATCGTGAGTGACACCAAAAAACCCCACCCCACAAACCGAACACCAACTCTCCCTTTCTTCTCCTGTGCTGGCTGTTGCCTAGAAGGTAGACATCCAACCCTCGAATCCCAGTGTCCCCCCTCTGCCTCCTTTTGAGTTTGTTCTTGGGTTTTTTTTCCTCCTCCTTCCTCCGTGTTGAACCTGTTCAGCTCTTCCTCGTAGCAGCTGCTGACCACCAACCTTCTTCCCTCTCTCCGATTTCTGCAGTAGCCGCCTGTAGCTCCCAACCCTCCCTGGATGTGTGGACTTGGACACTGTCGTGTACGTGTTTTGGGTGGGAGGGGGGGAAACACTGGACCATGTTCTGGGCTGGGATTCCTACAGCTGGATGAGCTCGTCCGTGTTGGACGCTGAACTCCACTCTCATGCCCTGTATGCCGTGCAGCTCCCTGGGAACATGCTGCCTACACTGTATTTGATCTGCCAAGGGGTTTGAGTGAGAAAGTGTTGGTTTAAGGACATGGAGAAAGGTGGGAAGCGGAGAGGAGGGGGGGTGGGGGAGTGGAAAGATGAAGCCTCACAGCACGGATATATTGCCATTAGCCCATGTAAGCAGCTTAGCGTTTAGACTGTCAGTGCTTGGGAAGGTTAAAGATGCACCCCGTGTTTGCAGTTCTGATTCAAAGCGTCACTGCTGCTCTGGGATGCCTTGGGGTTTTTTTTGGGGGGGTGGGGGGCAGATAGACAGATGCTCTGTTCATGCATATGTGGAGGGAGGTGGGGGGGGCGGGGAAGGCTTTACACGCTGTAGGGTGTAAAATGCTTACACATCTCTCAAACTAGTTGGAGGTCTGTCAGAAAAAAGTATCTTCATCTTTCCTTTGGAGTACAATAGCGACGTGGGCTTCAGGGGGATGGGCTTGGGTCGCTCCGGTGAGCAGCAGTCAGGCTCAGCTGCAGCCCCGACTTCACAGACTAAAAGGAATCTTTGCCCAACACGAAAATCTTTGCCATTTTGGCAATCTTTTGCAAAGGTCTCTCCAATCACAGCTCTCCACAGCCTGCTTTTGGGCCTGGGGCTGGCTGCTGCAGCTTTACCATGCCTGGGCAATGTGTAATAAAGGAACAAAACTGACTCGCCTCCGTCTTCGTGTGCCAGGGTGCAAAGGCGGTAGTGCTGGGTGTGCGCTGCCTGCACCCAGAGGTGTTGCTCGGGCAGGACAGCAGCGCTGGCACATGGGCAGGGAGCAATGCGCTTTAGTATATCGATTCAAATATGGAGGAGAAGGAAGGAAGACAGACTTACTGGAGCCCTCTTGCCCTGCTCTGACACCCTCCTCCTCTTTGAACCCTCGCTCCCATCCCAGCTGGGTTGGCTTGCAATGCAGTGCATCCCTGCAGGGATGCTGATGCAGGCGCTCAGGTCCAGAATTACCCACCCGTCTGCAGACCAGCCCTGGATGATGCGTTCATCCCCATCGCTCAAGCGGGGCCTCACAAGCTCTGGCACAAGGGGTCAGCCTGCAGATCTCGGTGACAACTCCTGCGGGTGACCCCGCTCCCCTGATGTCCCCAACCGCTGTCCGCGCCTGCCTGCTCCTCCTCTGTCACTCTGCCAGGTCACGGCTCCCTCACACCCACCATCCATCCCTGGTCCTCCACCTCTGGCTGCTTTTCGAGCAGCCCCTGTGAAGCTCTTGGTGCGGGGAGCTAAAGGATCAGCTCGCCGGCTGGATGCTGGCCAAAGGGGCATTTCTCTTCGGGGTTCATTTGGGAGGAAGGTTTGCAGCCAGTTTCTGAAGAGGTGGGAAGGCTGCAGTCTTCTGGCACGCAGGGCGAGCAAAAACTTTACGGCGAGGCAGTCCCTCTCTCCTGAAGAAGGGGAAGGCTAAAATGGTATTTTTATAAGGGCTTGTTCCTCATTGCAACAGCATTTTGAAGAGGAAATGACAACCAGCTTTAAAAAAAGAAAAGAAAAAGGAACTTGAGCTCTGTGTGGAGAGAAAGGCCAAAGGACAGAATTAAAAGCTTTTAAATAAAGGGGGAGGGGACACACACTCCATGTTTGCTTGTGGGTTTTTTTTAACTAAAGATTTTCTGATCATCATTAATTAGGACTGATTAGAAAAAGAACTTGCTGCCTTGTGAGAAATGCTGGTGGTTTGATGTTTGCTTTCCCCCTCTGGAACTGGAATGAAAAATTGATCTCGCAGGAGGAAGCATTTTTCCTGAGGGAGAAACCATAATGGCAAAGTCAACATTTAGGTGGTTTTGATCTGCCAGGTTATGTGATCTGGACTGTTAAACCTAATACCCTGAGTGAAATACGATCAGAGCGGAAGAGTTTACTTTTGAATCATCTGAGTCTGACAGTTTTCATGAAAACCAATACTTTGTGAAAAAATACTTTTGTTGAGATATATCTCAACAAAAATACAACAGATCTGGGTTTGTTTCTTTTCTTTGCCTGTATCTAGTAATGGAAAGAGTGTCCATTTGCTGCTGCCTATGGCTGGGAGGGGAACCTGGTTAATTTGATCCTTAGGAGAGATCATTTGCAGATAAATGGTGGCATGGAAAAACATCTCTTTGAAGTCCTCACCCTCTGAACAATCATGGCAAGTCACTCGAGCTGGGCAAAAAAAAGCAGGGGATGGCTGAAGTTAATTGGGAAGCTCTCTCAGTCTCCAGGGCTTCAAGGACACAGTGCAGAAGGCACTTTCCTGATGTTGCCTGTTTTGCTGGCTTTTCCTGGGAACGTGCCTGCATTTCTGTGTTTCCAGATCTCGAGCTGCCTGCTGGACCATGGTGGTCTGTCTCTGGGTTGGGCTTGTTCAAAGTACCTAGAGCTACTTAGCTGTCCTTGAGCTTGTGATCTGTCCTCAGCATCTCCCACCATCCAGGACGTCCATAGGGACTCAAGGGAAAAATCAGGTTTTGTTCAGTTTCCTTCCCTCCAGCCAGCCCTGGCTGTTGGACCTGGAGGTGCTTTTCTCTTCCCAGGAAAGTGGCACAACCCTGCCCTTCAAGCCCTGATTTCTGCCAGTGCACAACTGGATTAAGGCAGTGCTCCCCAGCTAGCACTGAAGCATTGCACCAGGTCCTGCTAGAGGCACTGGCAGCAGAAGCCTGCTCCTATCTAGGAGCTGTAAGTGAAGCTCCTCCATGTGCACGACAGGTCCAGGGCTTTGGAGAGGAGCCGGCTGCCCCCAGCTCAGTCGTAGGTGGCTTTGCTCCAGCGTCGGAGGGCTGGCACCTCCGAGGAAGGGCGCGTGGGCTGTGCGTGGGCAGTGCACACCTCTAGTAAGAATGGGTTGCAGGTGCATTGGGGGATTAGTCACGTTGTCTGCAAAAGCCCTGGGCTAGGAGGGATCCCTGTGATTATTTTAATCTGACCTGCACTGAGCAGTCATCAGCTTTTCTGAAAGGAGCCCTGCTGTGAATGAGAAGTGGGGACTGTGTCTAAGCTAGAGCTAGTCCGTTCCCAGAAGCCAGACCACCTACCACCTTGGCCTTGAGGATAGTTTTTAGGATAGCATAAAAAGCCCAAAACCTCCCAAGGGGGGGGTCTCTGTGCGGCAGCAGGTCTGCTGTGGAGGACTGTGGACCACGGTGGGGGAGGGTGTCCTTTGGGAAGGCGTCTGGTCTCACTGCAAAGCTCAGCAGCTGCTGAGCTCACCAGAAACCAAGGAATGTTTTCATAAAGGACTTTAAGATTTCAAAGCTTGTTTTCCTTCCGAGGGTTAATGTAACTCACCCCTTCATTTGGAGATCCCCAGAAAATCATCCATCCCAAAATAATATCCCTCTTTCAAATGAGGCAGAACATGAACTTGGGCCGGGTCTGTGTTCCCAGGCGAGCACCCTGCCCACAAATTGCTGGTTACTTGCTCAGCGTCTCATTCAGCACAAAAACCTGCAGGAACTGAGCTTTCCCCATAAGGAAAAGCCAAATCCCATCTGTCTCCATCAGATGCTTCTGCCACCCAGACAGAACATCTGAAAACATTTTATCTCCTAGGTCTGTCTTCAGCCCCTCTCTAAAGGGACGCCCTTTGGTGGTAGAAAAGCCCTGCCCTGCCCCAAAGCTGAGCTCTCCCCATCCTACCAGCAGCCAGGAGGCAATAAGTATGGAGCAGGTCAGTACTGGGGGACTGGGAAGAGGACAAGCAGGGTCCTGTGGGACCCAGAGGATGAGAGAGGCTAGAGGGGAGACACAGAAACCCCTGTCCCCAGCCTAGAAATCCCATCCTGCCGTGGCAGACCTGAGAAGCCCAGGCTGAGTGCACCACAAAGATCGAGACTTGATTGCAGTGTTGAAATAGCGAAGGACTTGCTGATCAAGAAGCACAGGAAGGGTAGAAGCAGCAGTAGCTGGAAGCTGGGACCAACCTCTTCTAATTTGAAAAATAAAACCCAAAAAAACTACCTTTACCAGCATAGGTATTCACCATTGAGAAAAACTATCAGAGAGACGGGGGGTTCTCCAGTTCTTGGTACAGAAACTGCAGCCTGGATGCTTTTCTGTAGGAAGGGGTTTAACAAAACAAGCTTTTAGGCTCAGTTTACCAGCTGACAGCAGTTGGCTGCAATGTGCAGGAGGTGAGACAATACGCAGAGCGTTGCTCTGCCCCGGCCAGCCGCGGAGAGACCTCTGGGCCTCCTTCCTGGGGCCGCGGGAGAAGCAAGAGAGGAAACGCAGCTGAGCAGTCGATGTTTGCATTTGCTGGAAGTTGTGAGAGCCAGAAGATGCTTTGGGTTGGGTAAGCTGTTCCGGCAGCTGGCGGAGAGCTGCAGGAGCACTTTGCAAATGAAGCTTGTTCAACCTGTGCTGACAGCTTGTTCTGGGCTAAAGCAGGTTAGGCTTTGTGACTTCATGACACGCAGATGGTTTTCCTAAAACGCTCTTGCAGTTAAAAAAGTTTTGCTTACTTCTAGGTAGTGGAGGGCTGGGAATTATCACCCCCTGTCCTCTGGGAGAGCTGTACAGTATCTGACTGAAATATGTTCTTGCAAATAGATTAAACCAGATTACATCTAAATCATATTTGAGTCCACAGCACAACCCCTGCCTCCCAGATGTCTGTTCCCTCTACCTTCTTATCCTTCTCCAGGCTAGATACACTGTGATGCAGAGTCCACTTTGCCAACAGCATCCTTAAAGTGACCCTAAAGGGCACATTAGCCCCCAACACCTCGGGGCAGCAGGGCAAATCTGCCATCAGAAATAATTTTTCCTCCTGTTTGTGGACTACTCTAGAGCATAGAAAACTTAACTCAGCCCCACGGTTTCCTAGACTCAGCCCAAAATTGGTGATGTGGTTCAGCAGGAGGCAGAGGAGCATGCAGCAATTATAGAGGATAAACACAGCTCTTTACTGCATACTGCCAAGTGCTATCCTCTCTTGCAATTCTAATCAGAGACACAAAAAGCCTCTCCTGCCAGCAGCGTGAAGAAAAGCATTTGTATGGGAAGCACAAATCACCTGGCTGGTGTTACTGGAGGAGCTGCACAAGCCCA